GCTGTGAATAGAAGTTATAGTTTCGAGTGTTTGGATTATGTGGTATGTCATATGATTTCACCTGAGGTTACAGGTATGGGTTATTACAGTTGGTTCGGGCTTATTCTGAGTATAGATGCGAGGTTCTGATCTTGTGTACGATTTCGGAAAATGCAATGTGGTTCCACGGGTTATGGTTTAGATGGACTGTGAAATTTCAACTATATTGTGTTATCGGACCTATGCGAGGTAGGGTGACGTGGGATCATCCCGGGTATATGCTTGGTAAAGTTATTCAGCTGTTGGTTAGCTTCTAGAACAACTCTGGATACGCTCGAGGACGAGCGTTTGTTTAAGTTGGGGAGGATGTAACGACCCGACCCATGGTATCAAGTACTACCACCCCGTTTTCCTCATTTATTGCTTCTTCATGTTTCATTATCAGCAACGAGTGAGTTAGAGTTGAATTGAATTGGTTTAGATAGGAAATGAGACACTTAGTCTCTTTAAGGAAGGCTTAAGTGGGAAAAGTCAACCGGATGTTGACTTATTAGTTAGAAGGCTCGGATGTAAATTCCGGTGATTCGGTTAACTTCGGGAGGTGATTTATGGCTTAGGAGCGTGGTCGGAAGTGATTTTGGAGGTCCGGTGTAGAATTAGGCTTGAATTGGCGAAGTTAGTATTTTGACGAAATCCGGTTGATGGGTGAGAATTTGATCCGAGGGTCGAAATGTAATTTCGAGAGTTGCAGTAGCTTCGTTAGGTGATTTTGGATATGTCTGCAAATCTTCAGGTCATTCGGACGTCGTTTGGTCGGGTTTTTGATCGAATGCGTAATTCGGAAGTTTTTAAGAAACTTAGGCTTGAATTCGATGTGATTTGATGGTTTTAGAGTTGTTTGATGTGGTTTGATGATGGGAACAAGTTTGANGAATTACAAAGATAATAAAAAGATAAGATATTTTTGAACATTAGTAGAGAGGTTTTTAAAATTATTATAATAGAAGTTATATCATGCATAAACTCAAAAAACCGAAATCTTATGGAATATTTACATAATATCCCGCCATATTTATTGTTTACTTTTTATAGCTAATATAAAATTATAAATAGATGATATACCAACAACACACGATTATACACATATTATATATGGATTATATATAAATTACACATCATTCAATTTTTTAATTTAAGTGGTCGGCTGAGCACCTATTTAGGATGATTAGATAAAGCCAAAAGAAAAATATGAATTAACTTCAACCAAAGACTAAAAATATAATTAAAGTTCATATGTAGAAAATATTTATTAAAACTCATACTTTTATAGTGAAATAAATTAATTTTTTGTAACAAAAGAAATAATGACATAAAAAATAAGATAAAAGAAAATAAACATTGAAAAAAATATTAGAAAGATCTAAAAACGAGAAATAAAAAATGACAACAAATTTCTTCTTATGTTTCATCTTTGTTGAGTATAAAAAATTTGAAGGTTAATCTCATCGATTTCAAATTTTTTTTTCCAACTCAAATACATAGATTATAAGATAATGATATCTTAGAATATTTTTTTAATTTACATTATGTGTCGTTTTAAAAAAATCACTATTACTAACAAACTGATATGATATTCGAATTTGAATTGGAATGCAATTTGAGTAGTTTGCATTGAGGTTAAGACAAGTATGGTGTCGAAAAATAAACTACTTGACAATTTTAAGACAATATATGCAAGTTTTTATAATAATAATAATAATAATAATAATCAACTAATGTAACATTTAATGATTCAAAAAACAAAACTTTTGTATATATAGGGTATTAAAAATTCAAATTCTAGGGCTAGAGATATCGATAAACTTAAGTCATACTGAAATAAATCCGGCCAAAGAATCATTTAAATTTTTAGATAGCCGATTAAAGTGAATTTTAAATTAAGGATAATATCTTTACTTGCATCATTATAAATATATATATATAAAGTTTTAAAAATTAATATTTCAAAATTAAAATATTTTTTGAAAGATAAAATCATACCAAATAAGAGTTCAAGTCGTAGTATAAGAGTCACGTCGTAATCAAAGAATCGTTTATATCGTGTCAACCTTTGTGCTTTGCCATAAATATGAGTTATTATTTCACTTTGTGATTATTTTTAGGTTCCAATGACACCTATGAGAATAGTGCAAAAATAAAATTATCACTATGAGAATTGAGAAAATTTAGTCTTTTTTCAGGTAGTGTTTCTTAATTAATATCTGACGATTATTTGTAATTATTTAGAAGGTTTATATGTTAAGGTTATATACATATAATTCAAATTACTCAGATATTTAACACGGTTAATGTCAAATATCAAAATGGAGTAAAAAAAATTCACTAGCTAAAGAATTTTTTATATTTTTAGATAGCCAACTAAAATGAGTTTTGAATTAAGAATAATATTTTCAAATATATTATTATAAAAATAATTATTATTGAAAAATAATATTTTAGAAACTGAAATTTTAAGAAAGAAATATTTTTTAAGAGATATCAACACACCAAATAAGAGTTCAAGTAGTAGTAAAAAAGTTAAGTCTTATCCAAAGAGTCATTCATTGTCTCAACATTTGATTGTTTTGCCATAAATATGAGTTATTATTTTGCTTCCTGACTATTTTTAGGATCCAATGACACCGGCAAGAATGGTATCAAAAAAGAAAAATAGAAGAAATGGTTAATTTTTTTCATGTAATTAATATCTAATGATTATCTATATTTACTAAAAAAGTATAAATTTTAAGATTATTTACTTAAAATTCAAATAACTTAAACATTTGACATGATTAATGACCGCGCATCCGTACAGATACTAATACTAGTAGATAGATATAGATGTATAGAGCTATAGATTTTTGTAGACATCAATCCACATATTAAATGGCCGAAATGGTATTGGATAACTGATTCTAAGGGCACCGTTAAAATATATTAATTTAAAAATCATTTAAAGCTTAGCTAGATTTAAAAATCATTTGATACATTGGTAAGTGTTTGGTCCAATCTTAGCTTGAGGGATTAGGAGTTGAGTCACTAAATTATTATATAAATTTTGATTATATTTTAAATAGGGGTCCTTAAAACAACTATTTGTGCACTTTGCCGGAGCTAACGGAAGACAGAATTTAAGTAGTGACACTTAAAAAAGACCATTTGTTTCAATGCTACAGCCTATCTATCTTCAAATTGAAATAACTTCCTTCCTGTTCTCTCCAATCCGTTTCAAAACAATTTCATCAATTGCCAAAAGAAATTGTTATTTGTTCCTAATATTATACAAAAGAAATTACAGGGAAGGAATTATCCCATGAATATGGAGAATTGAGTTAAAAGAAGAGAAAAAATGTCCTTAGTGAAATTTGAGGCCCGCACTTAATGGTGTACAGCTTATAACACTTCATTCTCTATTTAGGCTAATTACCATTGAACAAACACAGCTTGATTTAGTTTTCTCTTTCCCTTTTTTCTGTTTTTTTTTTGGTCCCTTGATTTCCAGTATCTCATATATTTTAGGGTTCACTAAAGAAACACTAGGCGCTAGGCCAAAAAAGTTACTCCCTCCGGGCCAAAATAAGTGATTTTTTGAATGTTTTCACACATATTAAGAAATCCACCTTTTAGCATTAATTACCAATTAAATTGACCATATTAACCTTTACTATCTCACATAAACACTCCTAACACATATTCCAACACTATTTACTCCAAGGACAATGTAGGAAAAAAATAATTAATTCATTCTTGAAATCTGAAAAAATCACTTATTTTGGACCACAAGAAAAATGCCAAAAAATTACTTATTTTGGACCGGAGGGAGTAACACTTTCTCCAGTTGTCAACGATAACAACACCAATTCCAGCTATATTACCCAATAGCTAGGCCTTAAATAACTATTTTGACTAGGACTTAAAACCATAGACTATTAAAGGATTGCCATAGCTTTATATAACAAAGTCATAACTAGGAGTATGATTTTTATCGAGTGGATTGAGTTTTTTTTTGCTCTGAAATGAAATTATGACTTGGTTATTGTTTATTAACCATCACAAAGAAATTAAGAGAATGATGATATTATTATATTTTATGGCTGTCAAGCCAAGTAAAATTGATACAATATAGGGAAACCAATTATAATTGACCGCCAAAGAGCAATTAACCTCAATAGCAGCAATGAGATGTTACCACACAATACTTATTTATTTATTCCTCTATATTCAATTCGGATTAGGTTTGTAGTGCGGATCAACTAAGAACTTCAATTATTCTCACAGAATATTTTAATAATCTGAAATTAACACCTAATTCGTATTAGGTTTGTCAGATTGACCAACAATATGTCATGGAATCAAAGTACTAGTACTCATTACAAACTAAGCAGAGAGCGTTCAGTGACGAAACCGAAAATTTTGCAAAGCGTATTTTAGATTTAATATATATTTATAAAAATTATTTTTGACCTGCATACGTAATATAATATTTCATATACTCAGTAATACGCCACAGAACACATTTCACTCTATGTGGCTACGCCACTGAAACATTAACTACAAAATTATGGATAAATTTAACGTATGTTATTAGAAAAATGTTCTAGGATTTTCCTATTTCCATTTCATAGGTGAGACTTCTGCTATCTGTCATATGTGTGGTTAAACAACCCTAACCCTAAAAATAGAGAATATATGTCACGGAAAATGCAAAGTACTAGTAGTAGTATATAAGTACCCATTAAAAATAAAGCAAAGAGCATTAAGTACAAAATTTTATGGATAAATTTCTACGTACTTTATTACAATAACATTTTAGGAATTTCCTATATATCCATTTGATTAGTGCAAGTACTTCTGCTATGTGTCATATGTGTGGTTAAATTAGAGAATAGAGATTATATTATTGCACATGGAACGACACCCTATTCAATAGCCCTTATTCTTTGTTTGCTTTGGCCGGCGACCACACCAAAACTATATAAAAACACACACTAATTTTTAATCTAATCTAAACCACCAAGAAACTCCAAAGTCTAATCTACAATATTAAGCCCCACCACTCCCAATGATTCCTTTTTCTTCTTCCTTCGTCTTCTTCTCCTTCCAAATTGTCATTTCATTTGTTTGTTTCTTCAAAGCTTCATTAGCAGAAGAAGAATAAAACCAGTGTACATCTATATTTTTAAACTACAATACTAGTATATATTACTCCATTCTATTTCATTCTCCACTAAGAAGCAGCTCTCAATGGGATCACAAGTTAACCACATTTCATTGACTTAATTCCCACACTTTTTTTTATTTTTTATACATTTATTCAGTGGTGCTGGTTCTTGTTTAGTCACTTTCATCCCTTGTGAAAGTACTGATCAGAAAGGTGGTGCTGGCCTGCAGGTTCATGTGGTGGCGCCCTTATTGCTTTCAGAATTCATTATTCTTGATGTTGCTCACGTGATTTCAGTCCTATTTTAATTCTACCTCTCATTTATTCTACCTTTGATCTTAATTGGTACGTTGTTCTTTTCAACCCTTTATTTTTCCTTTATATTTGTACACATGAATTCAGAATAAATGTGAGCTTATTATATTTTGGACTCATAAAACCTGCCTCAAAATACGCCTCTGCTTATACATGTATATTATATATATATGTCCGTGTTGTCCTTGTGTGTTCATGCACACTACTTAGCTTTTTTATTTTGCCTAGTGAAAGTGCATAATTAAGTTTACGTGTTTTCTTTCATTTTGAGGTGTTTTTGTTTTCTTGAGAAATGAGTGAAACAGGTGAAATCTTGGGTTTTGGATCGCAGGAAAGGAGAAAGAGAGGGATATTGGAAGCAAGAACAATGGCTGAGTTGCTTAGAGAGAGAATGGACGGCAGTGATCGTGTCGTGAGACGACGAAAGAGTCTAACTGAACGGTTAGGATTCTCCGGACCCATTGCATGTTGTGGGTCCACCTTGTGTCTCAGACCAGCTTCGTTAAGTGTGGTTGATGATGATGACGACGACGAAGAATCTCAACAAGCACCACCGGAGGCGGCGGAAGTGGGTCGTGAAGCACCGCCGGATATAGAGTCAGCTTTGGTATGTTTAGCTCATATTCCGGCGGGTACAGGGATGAACTTGGCGGCGGCGTTAGCGGCGGAGCGTAACTTGAGATCGGCCCAAGATTCAAGCCCAAGTCAAATATCAGGCCCAGGACCAAATACAAGCCCGTTGAGACCCAATATCAATGGGCCGGGAACTGGACAAGAAACACCATTTAGGATGTCGTTGATGAGATTATTAGAGGAAACGGACGGCTGCGATGCAAAGGAAGAGGTCAAAGAAGGAGTGGGAAATGATAAGATGTGCTGCGTGTGCATGGGAAGGAAAAAAGGAGCAGCGTTCATACCATGTGGACACACATATTGTAGGGTGTGTTCAAGAGAGCTTTGGTTAAATCGAGGGTATTGTCCCCTCTGCAATAGATCCATTCTTGAAATTCTCGACATTTACTGAAAACTCCAAAGGATTGGTCATGGATTTTTGTGTTTGATTTCTCATCAAAGTGAGCAAATGGATTTGATTTTTTTATATTAAAAGAAAGAAGAAGATTAAGCAAAAACACATGAAATTGTTGTACCTAGAGGAGTAAGAATTTGTTATTTACTTTCTGAATCTATGGTCGAGCACCTATACTAAGCCTTCCTTTCCAGCTTGGTTGAAGTTTGATCCACCATATCAAATAAGTATCACATTTTCTAATTAATCACATTCTTACTCCTTTTGATCCCAAAAGATAATCGTTTTGACAAATTAATTTTTTTTTCAAATAATAAGACGTTTCAGAAAAAAAAACATAAAGTTATTTTTCTTAATTCATCCTTACTGCTCTATTTAATGAAATGTAAATTGATTGAGATGTTTAAGGGAAAGATAAAAAGTAGTTTGGTTAAGTACTTTTATGATTGAAACATAAAAAAAAAAAAAAAATCTTTCAAGGAGTGTCAAAAGCGTTTTACTATGAATCTGATATAGTAGTGAATTGCAAATCAATTATAAACATAAGCGATTGTACTTCTTAGTTCTTAGCATAGAACTGTGGCAATACATCACCATTTTAACAGAAATATACATTCATGTTTAAGTAGTTTATGCCCTTTAAATGTGGATGCTAGTTTTGTTTGTTGCTTGTCTACAAGTGATAAGTAATAGACGAACTCGAAAGTATAAGAGAAGAATTGTTAGTCCGGGACAAAGATAAAAAATTAGCTTTTTCTTTATGTTTGGACCAAACATCCAAAGTTTTAGTTACATGTCATCTTGGTGGCCCTAGACCATGATTAGCTCGTAAAAAAGGTTATCTTGGACCGAAACTATCTTCGATCTGGCCCAATACAAAGTTGGAGCAGATAAATGGGTTTTGGGACAATCTATTCTAAGCTTTCTTAATTGATCCACAGTCATAGGGATGTCAAATGGGGTGGGGTGGGGGCGGGTTCTGCTTTAACACGCAAAATTTCAACCCATCTCGCATAGCATTTCTACCCGCATTCCTCCGCCCCACGCTAAACACCCGTGTCCACCCGCCCCGCCCCACTTAGTTTTCCAGTATTATTTCTTCAAATTGTTTTTTTTTATAAACTTCCATTACATTAGTTAGAGCATCTTCATATTTTCTCGAGGCCCATTCTTGTCCGATAACGTGATATTAGAAAACAAGAAATAGAAATTGTGATATTCACACTATTGTTAAATCAAAACTGACTTTATATAATGGAAACAATTACTTATACCACAAGACCAATATAAAACATTGATAGAAAAAAGAATTATGTTGCGAAATATCGTGGGTTAACTAGCACAAAATCATACACAAAGCAAATAGAGAAGAAAAATTAACACAAGATTTAACGAGGTTCGGCTAAGCCTAATCCTCGGGGCGAAAGCAGAGAGAGTTTTTCACAATGAATGAGAAGAAAAGCATTGTGCAATCTCTAGAATCCCCAACTACAACCCCTTATATATAGATCCCAAAAGGTCCCAAACATATAAGAGAAAGGTTTCCCAATTTGACAAGGACTATAGGTTTTCCTTTCCCAAATCTATTAGGACAATGAGTTTTCCTAAACCTATAGGGATTATGGGTTTCCTAAAAATACAAGGAAATAATTCAAGCCACAAATAACAAATCTTCCCCTTGGCGTGAATTCTCTTCATCAACACGAACAACATCTCTCTACCTTGCCCTCAGCCCTCGCAAGGGCTCTATCCATAACCGCACACATCAAACAAGTCTAGGCAACACCTAAACTTGTTAAGAGACTCAATCTCTTTAGCCATAGCACTAATCCATGATTTGGTTATATACTCGGAAGAGCTTCTCTATATGAGTATATACTTGGCTATAACCTTTCACTCTAGTTGCATACAAATATGCACTTCTTGGCCCTCGGCTCAAGTTTTTCATCCCTCGCATGAGCATAATAGGACAATCAAATATTCTTAAATTTGAATAATCAGCAGGTGAACCGGACCATACCTCAAAAAGAGTTTTGAACTCAATAGCTGTGGATGGAGATCTGTTGACCAAATAACAAGCTGTATTGATTGCTTGAGTCCAAAAATCTTTTCTAACATATGAGTGTAAAAGCATGCTTCGTGCCCTATCACAAAGCGTTCTATTCATACGCTCTGCAACACCATTTTGTTGTGGTGTTCCGACACACGTGAGGTGTCTCACTATGCCCTCTCTGCTGCAAAAATTATCGAACTCAAAATTACAAAATTCCAACCCATTGTCAGTTCGAAGACTCTTAACTTTTCTTTCTGTCTGCCTCTCAACCATCGTCTTCCATTAACAAATATCGGAAATACCTCATCTTTTGTTTTCAAAAAATACACCCACGCCATCCTTGAGTAATCATCTATCAAAGTCATAAAATACCTAACACCACTCTTGGAGGGAACTCTGTTTAGACCCCACAAGTCAGAGTGTATATAATCTAACTTGTCTTTGGTCTTGTGCTCGGCCTTCTTGCTGAACTTTACCCTTGTCTGTTTAACAAATACACAATGCTCACAAAAATTCAAAACTTGATTTTTGTACCCATTCAGCAAATTCTGCTTACTCAACAAAGACAATCCATTATCACTCATATGGCCAAGTCGCAAGTGCCACAATTGAGACTGATTCAGATTAATTTTTTAGAAGCTATAGCGGCTTCCACTTCAACCACACTGGCCTGAAGATGATACAATTTAGAATGCAGTTTAACCTTCATAAGTACCATGGAGCCTTTACACACTTTAAGTATTCCATTCTCGGAGTGAAATTTATACCCTTGATCATCCAAAGTCGATAGAGAAATCCAATTTCTCTTTATCCGAGGAACATGCCAACACTCAATGTTTTCGATAATTCTGTCGAACATTCTCAATTTGATGTTACCAACCCCCTATACTAGTAATAGATTATCATCTCCCATGTAGACAGTCCCACTCATTTTTTTGTAAGTTGCAAAACAGTTCTTTTGTGGACACATGTAGAAATTAGCACCAGAATCAAGAACCCAAGAATTCTGCCCATGACTAGAACTCACAGCACAAACTTTTCCTACATAATCACTATCATCAGAATTATTGCCAGTGTCAACAATATTTGCCAAATTATTTATTTTCTACTTTCCTCTTTTCTCCTTCAGCTTAGGACAATCTCTCTTGTAGTGACCTTGCTCCCCGCACTCATAACAATGTTGCTTCCTTGCTCTAGACTTTGATCTGGCAGTTGATTTTTTTCCTGTTAAAGTTCTTTTGTTGTGTTCTTCCTCTAATCACAAGACCCTCGCCCTCAATTCTGCTGTCTGGAAAGCTCTTTTAAACTCTTTAGATTTTAGTGCATTACTAACATCTTCTAGTGAAATGATGTCTTTCCCATATAGTAGTGTATCGGTAAAAGTATCATAAGACGGTGGTAAAGAATATAACACAATCAAGGCCTGATCCTCACTCTCAATTTTGATATCCACATTCTTCAGGTCCATTATAATTGAATTAAACTCATCAATGTGAGTTTTAACAGGTGTACCTTCATTCATATGGAGATTGTATAACCTCTTTTTCAGGCAGAGGCGGTTTGTTAGCGATTTCTTACAATACAGATCTTCCAGTTTCTTCCATGTCGTTGCTGCTGAAATTTCTTCAGCAATTTTCCGAAGAACGCTATTTGTAACTGTCACGACCCAAAATCCCACCACAAGCGCCGTGATGGCACTTAGTCTCTAAGACTAAGTAAGCCGATCATAATAACAATTCAAACCTTTTTTTTAAACCAACAGCGGAAATAATTATAACACCTTTCCAAGACTGATAATACTGCATCATGAACTCTAACTGAATACATGAAACGATCTCAAGGAAATCGAATATATAATACTGTTCGAACAATAATTGACAGTACGATTAAATGGAAAGACTCCAAAGGACTGCCATGACCAAACAGCTCTACCTTGAATCCTTGCGATCACACTCTAACTCTGTACGAGTCCGATATCTTTAATACTTGTCTCTGCATGAAAATATGCAGAAGTGTAGTATGAGTACACCATAGTCGGTACCTAGTAAGTATCAAGACTAACCTCAGTGGAGTAGTGACGAGGTATAGTCAAGACACTCATTAGTCAAATATGTGCAATATAGCAGTATACAATAGTACTAGAAAACAACTAGCAGTGATGGCGACAAAAATCAACCAGTGATATAAACAGCAAGGCAACAAGAAAATATTGCTCAATAAATAATGAATATAGGTACAACCAATTAACCAAGTCCTTCAAATATAAATCTTTCACCCATAACTTTTTCAAATGATAATCTTTAGAATATAATCCTTTCCAATAAATATATTTCGAATATACCTCCTCCAAATAAACATCTTCCAAATAAAATTCTTTCAAATAAATATCTTTCGAATATTCCTCCTCCAAATAAACATCTGCCAAATAAAATTCTTTCAAATAAATATCTTTCGAATATAATTCTTTCAAATAAAAGTCTTTTTGTGACACCTCATTTCATAATCATAAAATACGGGTCTCAGCCCACTTTCATATTTTTCGTAACACGGGTCTCAACGCACCTTCATATTTTTACGGCACCTCATGCCTATATTTCTATCACAACCGCACGGACAACTCACTTGCCAATAATAAAATTATCATATTTTCTCCGGCATCTCGTGCCCATATTTAATTCATAACCACACGGACAACTCACGTGCCAATATTAAATAATTATTTTTCTCTGGCACCTCGTGCACATATTTCATATCACATTTGCACGCGGCTCACGTGCCAATAATATAAATCGCCCGGCAATAGCCACAGGCTCACAATTCCAACATGAATCAGACTTTATTAAATTTACTGAATTAACAAAATGAGTTGCACAATATATAAAAGAATCACAACATCACAAAAAATCACAAGTACAATATCCTCACATCATCACATAACGATTACCAACACAATAACCCACATCATCACATATCATCCCTGACAATAGCCACTGTTATCTCTCCTATAGCCACCCTTATCACTCCTATAATAGCCTCCCTTATCCCTCCGCCCAGACAATATCAATAGCCACCATTATCGCTCCTATAGCCACCCTTATCGCTCCTATAATAGCCTCCCTTATCACTCCGCCCAAATAATATTCCAACACACATAACAATAGTGAAATGCCACCCTTATGCCCACATAATGTCAA